ATTACATAACAACGTTTCAAAAAAATGGATCTTCTTCAGGAGATATTATAGTGGTGCCAAAGCTCTCAGTTTCATAAATGTTAGACAACAAGTCTTAAGAATATTAAATTCAGATAGGACGCTGATCTCAATTAACATTCAAGCTCAAAATATGCTGCTATGTTTCCACTGGATCCTGGGCGTCTCTCCCTGGTGATTGCTACCAGAGTGCACCAGGGAGAGACGCCCAGGATCCAGTAGAAACATAGCAGCATATTTTGAGCTTGAATGTTTTTTGAAACGTTGTTATGTAATCCGGAGACGATGTTGATTATGTGATTATGTACCTTGGTTCAAGGATTTGTTATTGAGTTGTGTATCATGTTGTAGTGCTTTAGATTGCAATACATAAACAGCATTCTTTATAAGTCTTATGACTGTTTGATTGTGGGTCAGACTATCACGACTGTTGGCTTTATACTTGTTTAACTAAATTTGTAACCTACAGAAGAACCACTGGGGTGTGTCAGTGTGTACTTTGCATTGTTTAATAAAGTATTTTAGTTGATGTATGTGATTTGATGCAGTGTTTATGGTTAAGAAAGAGTTTGTGTTTCTATCCCATTATTACTGGCATTAATAATACTGACTTCACATGCATGGCTTTTGTCAAGAGGACCTCTGAGCCACAAAGTGTGTGAATTGCTTTAAGACTTGGACAAAGCTTTGCATAAAGACTACCTATTAGAGTGTCATAAATTACAGTTCACAATTGTGGAGCAGCACCACCCCACAATGCGACTTCCAAACGTGTTTTTTGTCTTATTCTTGCAGGATGTCTTCCTCATCTGCTTCTCTCTTGTTAGCCCTGCATCTTACGAAAACGTTCGTGCCAAGGTGAGATCATAAGAACATAAGAAGAACCCTGTTGGATCAGACCAATGGTCCATCTAGTCCAGCATCCTGTCTCACACAGTGGCCAGCCAGTTTCTTTGGACAGCCAACAACAGGGCATAGAGGCTGACATCTCCCCCTGATGTTGCCTCCTAGCTCTGGGATTCAGAGGCATGTGGAGGTTCCCCTCAGTCACCATGACTAGTGGCCATTGACAGACTTATCCTCCATGCATCTATCTAATCCCCTTTTAAAGTTGTTTATTCCTGTGGCCATCACTACATCCTCTGACAGTGGATTCCACACTTTAATCACTCTCTGTGTAAAGTAGTATTTTCTTTTCTCTGTCTTGAACCTAGTGCCCATCAATTTCATTGGATGCCCTCGATTTCTAGTATTTTGGGGGAGGGAGAAAAAGTTCTCTCTGTCAATTTTCTCCATCCCATGTATAATTTTATAAATCTCTATCATGTCCACCCTTAGTCGTCCCTTTTCTAAACTGAAAAGTCCCAGACTCTTCGGCCTTTCCTCATAGGGAAGAGGGGCTCCAGCCCCCTAGTTATCTTGGCTGCCCTCCTCTGTACTTTTCCCACCTCTGCAGAGTCCTTTTGGAGATCTATGGTGCCCAGAACTGTACACAGTATTCCAAATGAGGCTGCACCATTGATCTATACAGGGGCATTATAATAACTGCTGTTTTATTTTCAACCCCTTTCCTAATAATCCCTAACATAGATTTTGCCTTCTTCACCACTGCAGCACACTGGGTGGACATTTTCACTGAGCTATCCACTACAACCCCAAGATCTTTTCCCCTCTTAGTTCAGACCTCGTTAGCCTATACTTGAAGTTGGGAATTTTTTTTGTCCCAGTGTGCATCACTTTACACTTACCAACTCTGAACTTCATTTGCCACATTGTCGCCCACTCGCCTAGTTTGTGGAGATCCTCTTGGAGCTCTTCACAGTAAGCCTCGGCTTCCACCATCCTAAATAATTGGGTGTCATCTGTAAACTTGGCCACTGTACTACTCACCCCTAATTCCAGATCATTTATGAATAAATTAAATAGTACTGGTCCCAATACTGATCTGGTGTTTTTAAAGTGAAAGGTGCATCCCCGGAGGCCTTGCTTAGGGTTTCCAGCCTGAGGCTTAGGATTGCCTGAGGCTGACAGCCATTGGGAGAAACTTTCCAGGGGGGCTTCTGTGATGATGTGGTGACGTCACTTCCAGGTTATATTGGAAGTGATGTCACTGTGCAGGGGCTAATGCACCTAGAAAGTATTAGCTAGGTACTCTGCACTAATATAAGACCGCAGTGGCACAGAGGTTAAGACGCTGAGCTGCAGACCGGAAGGTTTGTAGCTCGGCAGTTCAACACCTGAGTGCCGCGTGATGGAGTGAGCTCCCATCTCTGGCCCCAGCTCCTGCCAACCCAGCAGTTCGAAAGCAAGAAATTGCAAGTAGATAAATAAGTTCCACTTCGTTGGGAAGGTAACAGCATTCCATGCACCTTGGTGTTTATTTAGTCATGCTGGCCATATGACCACGGAGAAGTCTTCAGACAGCGCTGGCTCTTCAACTTGGAAATGGAGATGAGCACCGACTCCTAGAGTCAGATTCAACTGGGTTTCAAGCAAGGGAAACCTTTACCTTTACTGCACTAATATAAAGTGTAGCCCATTTTCTTTTTTTTATGTAAGGGTTTTTTTTTGTCTCATTCTTCTAAAATCTCCAACTTTTCTCTAGTGGTTTCCTGAAGTACGACATCACTGTCCTAGCACTCCCATGATCCTTGTGGGCACTAAACTGGATCTTCGGGATGACAAGGACACTATAGAGAAGCTCAAGGAGAAGAAGCTGGCACCTATTACTTATCCACAAGGCCTTGCACTGGCCAAAGAGATAGGTATGAGATTATGTGGGGAGGGAGGCAAAGATGCTAAAATTCACCTATTTCAATTCCAACTGTGGACACGCGTCTCACTTGAACAGAGCAAATGCCGCCAGCAGCCTTCCTGGTTCTTCAACCTAGCAGACGCAGAAAGTTGGTTTTTTTTGGGATTTGCTGACTTGGGAATGCTACAGATATACGATCCAACCAGGGGTCATTTTGTAGAAAAAGAGCTAGGGGAACTCATTAGCATAACTCATTAGCATATGCCACACCCCCTGATATCAGGGGCCCTGCGGTGGACCTGCAAGGCCAGTGGGAGTGCGAGGAAGCGCCGCCAAGGCTCTCCCTGGCCCCAGGCAGGCAGGGGTGGGGAGAGGCGGGGAGGAAGCAACTTACCCTCCCTCTTCTCCTGCCTCCTCCTGGCTGAATGAGGGCTGGAAGCAGGGCGGCCGGAAGCAGGGGGCGGGGCTTCGTCATGTGCCCCGCCCCCCTGCACCTCACCCGGGGGAACTGCGTTCCCCCCGCGTTCCCCCCCGAAATGACCTCTGGATCCAACATAGTGGTCCTCTCCATTTCCCAAGTGGTCTGCACTTTAGCTTTTAGTCCTAGTACAGACAGTTAGTCTGGTGCTTTTTAAGCAGAAACTTGAGCATTGATATATGAGGTCAGAGGAGCTACATCACCACATAGGGAGGTGAATGCACATCAGCTACATGGAGGGGAGGGGGGTTAGAATTGCTGAGGAAGCAGCTGCTCAGAAGAAAAGCAACAGCTCTTTACCTCAGGCGGCAAACAGACCCTGAGAGTCCCACCTGCTGCCAGCTTGTTTACTTTGCGAACATAAAGATCCCATCATTAGTAGCTCTTTCAACTGCTCTTTATTGACATTATCTTCCTTAACTGTGAGAACAATGGCTCCAGTTACCAGATCTTTCCCTTCCACGGCTCTCTGCATCCATAATTAAGAGGAAGAACTGAGCCTGCAACATCAAACCCTTAGCTGTAACCACAGTTTCCTTTTCCGGCCATGTGATCTGAGGCTGGCTAGCAATGAGTGCAGCTTTACTCTCCGACTCTTTTGTTAAGGACCTTTTCTTGTTGTATGGGCACTAGGGTTGCCAGCTCTGGGTTGGGAAATACCTGGAGATTTTGGGGGTGGAGTGTGAGAAGGGCGGGGTTTGGGGAGGGGAGGGCCTTCAGTGCCATAGAATCTACCTTCCAAAGCAGCCATTTTCCCCAGGTGAACTGTTCTCTGTCACTTGGAGATCAGTTGTAATAGTGGGATAGCTCCAGCCACCACCTGGAGATTGCATCAATATAAAGACACTCCGTGAATGAATTACAAACAAAAGCAGAGAGATTATATTGTGCAAAACAATTCAAACAGTTTTAAATCTTTGTTAAAGTTCAACAAAGCCTTATATATTCTTAAAGAGCTAGGATCAAAAAGTACTTGATACAAAGGGAAAACTCAAGTAAAGTAAACTTCAGGGGAGCAAAGGTTCTACGTCTTGTATGAGCAGCAGCTGTACACGGCTGGTTTCACAAGTTCTCTTTCTGCCGATTAGGCTTCCCCACTATTGTAGAAGCCTAATCGGCAGAAAGAGAACCTGTCAGTGGAATGAATGGAGAACTAGTTGAAGGAGAATTGTTGAAACTTTATTTCATTCCACAGCTAAAGAGTACCAGCTATCTGAAGAAGCAAAACGTGAACGCGGCCGTGAAACCAGCCGTGTATAGCTGCTGCTCATACAAGACGTAGAACCTTTGCTCTCCTGAAGTTTGTCTTTATACAAAGGATTTGTGGACTTTGAGTTTTCCCTTTGTATCAAGTACTTTTTGATCCTAGCTCCTTAAGAATATATAAGGGTTTGTTGAACTTTAACAAAGATTTAAAACTTTTTGAATTGTTTTGCACAGTATAATCTCTCTGCTTTTGTTCGTAATTCATTCACGGAGTGTCTTTACAATCTCCTCCCATGAGCTCTCATTTTGATATACCACCTGGAGGTTGGCAACCCTAAATTGGGCACTCATTTTCCCTGTGTGGAATGGGTTATCCTGTCCTTTTCAGCACAATTCACCACTTTAGTAGAGAGGAGGGCTGTGGGATACACAAGCCAGAGGATAGACAATGTGTTTTCAGCAAGCACTGTGAGGAAAGAAGTGAGAACAGCCCTCTATTGAAGTGATGTGAGGGAGTCAGAGCTGCTGTTGTGACCTTGGATCTGTTACAAGTTCTTTCAGAGCTATTCTCTCACAAGCAGTTCTCTAAGGAGCTCTCTCAGCCCCACCTACCTCACAGGGTGTCTGTTGTGGAGAGGGGAAGGGAAAGGAGATTGTAAGCCACTCTGAGACTCCTTTGGGTAGTGAAGGGGTGGGGTATATATCCAATCTCTTCTTCTTCTTACTCTTTTCTACTGCCACTGAAGTATATGTGTGCCTGTTCTTGATTTCCTCCTGTTTAGTCATATTGCTGTCCTCCCTGTAGTCTGGTTGAGATTTTTAAAAGTATAATCCAGGGATCGTTTCGTAGAAAAAGAGCTAGGGGAACTCATTAGCATAACTCATTAGCATATGCCACACCCCCTGACATCACCAGAAGTGTGTCATAAGGCCACACCCCCTGACATCACC